CATGTCATATAACAAAGTAGCTGGTCTTTTTTAAGGACGATGAGTGTAAAAGGTATGTTATAAATTATCGCCTAGCATATCAATTAGTGATTCTTATTAATTTTTAAAAAACTAAATAGTTATTTAAAGAAAATGATTAACTATTTTATTAAGAATTTTAAAATATAATAAAGTGAAATATTAAACAATGGAAATTGAAAAGATCACAATTCAAATATTTAAATCAATAAAAATGCAATACTTAAAACAAATAAATTTTCAAAAAGAACAATTTAAAGTTATTCTTTAGATTAAAAAACTTATCATTTAAAATAAAGAACGAAATATTTACATAAAAATTTAATTAATAGAATCTATTGTCAATCTTTTTAAAAGTAGAACCATTAAGAATAACTGCTCTTCCACCGGTACATTTCATAATTGGAATGTAACATCCTTTACATTTAATATCACTTTGACTGTGAGAATAAGTAATGTTAGTTTCTTCACAATTGTTACATCTGACTCTTAAAAAGCTTCCAGCTTCCTTTCTGAATATTCTTTTCTTCTTATGTTTTGCCTCAAAATGTGGAACTGATAAATCTGATGCATTAAAATTATAAACCATGTCGATTATTTGGGGTTGAAAAATTTTTATAAAAAAATTGATTAAAGTTTTTATGATTTTAATCATCGCAGGTCCATCGGGTTCAGGAAAGACAACAATTATCAATGAATTAATAAAAAGGACAGATTATAAATTTGTAAAAACATTTACGACTAGAGAACCAAGAAATGATGATTGTAATAACTATAATTTTATAAGTGAAAAAGAATTTGTTAACAAAATACACAATGATGAGCTGTATGAATACGTTTATCAATTTAATAATTATCACGGCACTCCAAAACTAAAAAAGGAAGAAAATTTAATCTACAACATCAATTATGATGGTGTTAGAACATTTTATAATAATAAAATACATAACGCCTTTTACATTCTTATAAAATGTGATCGCAAATTATTAAAAGAAAGAATTTCTAATAGAAACAAAATAAGCCAAGAAGAATTAAATAATCGATTAAAAACAATTGAAAAATATGAAAAACTTGAAATAGAAATAAAATTTGATCTGATTGTTGACAATTCTAAATGCGATTAAATAAACAGAGTGCCGTGTTTTACCCTAGGGATACGACCCGTGATGACATATTGTGTGAAGTAAGACTTAATCTTACTTGTATCTGT